TATTATTAGCGCGCTAATATCGTTGTAAACGCATTCTGAATACGGGCTCCTATCTATAGTATATACATATAACAGGGTATCAATCACGAAACTTTTTCTCTAGAGTGAAAAGTAAAAAGTAAAAATTTTCTCCATTAACTTCTGATCTATGCATTCTGAGAGAAGATCACAAAAATATTTAAAATAAGTCTTAAAAATATTTATAAATATTTTGTAAATATTTTATAAATATTGTATGCTGTCAGGGTAAGTGATAAATATATATATATATATATATATATGTAGTGCTGCGATATTGAATTTATTGTAATTGGAATTAACAATTGGCGGACTTATTTATTTTACATCTTCATTGACCAAACTGACATCATGAGGTTAATTGATTTAGCCACCGAATCTCTCACAAGTAAATTTAATTTGTTATAATGTTAATTACTGCTGAATTCACATACAATCTGTTAATTTGTCATTGCTTTCAACCGTTTTGATATTTATACATGTAACATTAATAATGACTCTATAGTAGTCGAAACGTTTGTTATTAATGTAAGTTATTTATTAAATTTGTTTATTGGCTCGTAGGCCTTCGTAACGTTTTTTTTATTTAATTGATATGAAATGTTATATGAAATATTTCTATCGGCATTTAAAAATATGGTTATAATTTCATTTCGAATAATGCTTTGTGTTAATTTATCGTAATTTCTTAATTTTTGTGCAACAAAATAACTAAAATTTGTTTCGTCGTTCCGTTTGCCCTTTAAAGCTGAAGCATATGTTTCTAAATTTTGAAATGCTTCATCTGAACGTTGATCTTCTAATTTTATTCTACTCGATGATGATTTTTTAGACAAATTACTAGAAATTTTATTCTTTTTGGATAAATTGTTGCTTTCCTGAGTTCCTTCTTCATCTGATACTTCCATTTGTTTTGGATATTTTTCTTCAAGCAATACCTGGAACAATCAACATTTCTTTAATAATGTATTATTTTTTAAAATAATATATCATTATATGAAATTAAATGCAAAAATAACTTCATTAATCTGATAATCATACATTTTTTCATAAATATAAGACACTAATATTTTGAAGTACTATTATTCAGTTTGTAAAAAAAGGCCAAGTTATATTTTAAATGATACTAGAAGTTAAATACGATTTAAATATTTAAAATTTTTTAAATCAAAATAAATAATTAAATTTTCTTTCTATATTATAGCAAATTATTAATAAAACATAAGGTAAGATGATAATGATGATGTAATAGCGAATATGGTACAATTCTGAACATATACAAAATAAGATTTTAATTCATTTTTTGAAATTTAAGTTTGGTTTTCTTCTGTATTTTACCCTCTCGGTAAAATTTTTTTGCGTGACTATATATAAATATGTATAAACATACCTAAATATGTATAAATATTCATAAACGTATATAATTATGTCCATAACATGAAATGGATGTCCATACATCCTTCTTTCTTTGGTAAAATTACTTTTTAGTGTACTAAAAATAATAATAATGAGAAAGCATAAAAAATAGTTAATGGGACAATTTTCGCAGTTTGTTTTAGAAAAAATCAAGTTCGAAAAAATGCAAAAGATTGCTCATACATAACTATAATATGTATAATTTTACATACAATTATATATAATTATATACGAGCAAATCTTTTACATTTCTCTAAATTTGATTTTTTCTAAAACAAACGGTACGAAAATTTTCCTTTTAAGTATTTTTTATATTTTCTCATTATTATTATTTTTATTATTATTATTTTTTTTAGTACACTAAAAAGTAATTTTACAAATGAAAGAAGGATGTATGAATATATATGGATATATGTATATCATATACAAATATACGTTTATAAATATTTATACATGTTTATGTATGTTTATATATACTTATATGTATGTATTCATGCATGAAAAATTTTTTACCGGACTTTAGTACCCTTCTCATAAATTAATATCCTCCTCCCAATGAAATTAGGATTACCAAAGTTGAACCTAGAACCTGCAAACTTGAAATTGGATTTAGATCTTATTTCATTCAGAATTATATCATGTTCGAAATTATACCACCTTACCTTATTTAGAAAAATTTCAAAATCCAAATTTTTCCAAGATTGGCTTATACATTTAGATCTAATAGAAACTAAGGATAAAAGCCAATCATTTGAAAAATCTTAAAACAAAAAATTACTTTTTCTGTTGAAGACAGCCATTTAGTCCAGCGCAAAGAATTGCAAAATTCTATAACAAAAGGACCATCATTCCATTCATATTGGGATAATGGAAGATCATATGGAATCGGAAATACCGGAATGGCTGGGTCGTTTTCATTCACAATGGGAAATGTCGTTGTTTTAGTCTAAATACAAACAAGTTTGAGATGTAATAATTGATGTTAATCGCGACTAAAACATGTGTTTTTAACAGATTATACATTTTAAAAAATATTTATTAATTTATTAATATGTTAGGAATTATTAAAATAATAATATACAATACTATTAAAATAATATGATACTTACGATAAATTTTGGTACAAATATGACGCCGACCTCGTAGTTTCCTATACTATAACCGTATTGTTCAATTGATCCCCATGCGGCTTTGCTTAGATTTGCGCTGGTGAGCACAAACCAGGGAATGCTTTTTGAATCAGGAGAAATCCTCGTATATGATTTAATATGAGGCATTGCACGATTTCGTCCTGTTCGCTTTGCTTTCCATTGACTACCGAAATAAATATCAAATTCTGTAGAAAAAACGGATCACGTCTAGACAAAACATAGACATAAAGTTTTGAATAAAATAAAAGTAAACAGTTATAGCTTACTGCAAGTATAAATCTAACCACTGCTGCTTAGAATGCGTTTCTGCACTATAGGGCGAGCACCAAGATACATTTTGATAATGAAAGCTGTGTTTGTAATTCTGAATCGATGGGTAAATAAACTTAAATTCCGGTTGACCCTTTATACTCTTAGTATTCTCTCTTGACATACACGGAATTATATCTTTCAACAACCAACTTTCAAAAGATGAACCAAGTTTACCTATAGATGAACTTTGTGCAACTATAGGCCACGGAAAAACATCTGACGGCAATGTCACGTGATGCGATAGAACGTGCGCCAATTTCTTGTACCCCCAAAAATTGGCTTCATTATTTTGATAAATCCCAGGAATCGAAGCGATGAGAAACACGTTTACTTTAGAAAAATCCGCCTTCTGCACCGCCCATATCCACTGCGTCAACGCCGGTTGCTTATATCTTCTCAGATATCGCTCGAGATCCTTTTTAAAACCCGTTGGAGATTCTCCGTCACTGGAATTCGCGGATTCTGGTAGCCGGGGCAGATGAGGCGAAATCCACAATCTGAATACAATAAAAAGATATTCATAGGCAAACAACAAAGAATGTTTAAGAATATTTAGCAGACCCTTGTGTCACATTTTCCCAATCGGTAGAACGCAAGTTGGCAGTGGAGACAATCACCCTAATTCCATCATCTTTGTATTGTAGGATCATGATCTTCGTATGATGACAAGCAAACTCGGTTTCTATGTTTACTTTTATTACAGTAATATTATTAAATAATTTCTGATAATATGCTTTGCCGCCGTACAAAATCGTCATATCAGTACTTTGACCAGCCAATAAATATTGCCAACATAGCCATTCGACATCTACGATAAAATTTAAATGAAGACTGTAAACAATTTCTCCAAGACTACAATCGAGAATCTCAGGGAAAGTTATAGAGAATTCTTGCTTATAAGTCTCTTCGGAATTTTCGATTCTTGTCAGGAATAAATGATAAGGTGCTGAATAATCATATTTTATCGCAAACTCTCCTGGTTGCACGATCATGTGACCTAATTTTCTCATCATCTTAATGGCCTTCTCGCTAACTTTCTTTCTGGACTTTTGGGAATTACAAGCTTGGAATTTATTCATGATGGAATTCATATTCATAGATGTTCCTAAACTTTTGTTTCTAGAACTATTTTGATAGTTGCTAATATTCTGCTGATTATTTTTAGTGCGATTATTGTTCTGTATATTTATTCGTCTTATGTTCTTCGTAACGGAAGAGCCGGATTTTGATATCTTCTGATTGTTTTCTCTTGCCTATTAAAGAAATTTATATTTATTGTTCTTATTTTCCACAATTTAAAGTTCACAAACTTATTTTTAATTTCACCAACTTCGATGCTTTGCGAATTCTCACGTCTTTTATCGAACAAAACTGTAGAAAGTGCCTGAACTTCTATATCCATCTGTTTGAGTTTATCTTGCCTCTTTTGTACTCTTGCTTTCTTATGTCTCTTTACTTTTTCAATAAAATCTTCTTACTTTTAATATTTCCAACACTTGATGTAGCAGTAGACAAAGATACATGTAGAAAATAAATCCAATTGTAGATACACAAATGTAGCACAATATATTTCAAATTATCCCAGACAATGTTTCCAAAGCAATGTTTGCAATCCTAAAGACGACTCAATAAGTAATACTCAGGATTCCAGTAAGATATTGTGAGATATCTTGAAGATAGGATATCTTTATGATATCGAGTACTGCATAATAACTTTATTAAAAAATTAAAATAAAATAATAGAAATCGATTTACAAAAAATCTTATCGTCTCTTCTATTGTAATCTATTTTTCATTTTTCATGTTTTAAATGAAATGCTATTGTTTCTTATTGTTTTTTGTTTTGTTCTTTGAAAATGGATTTAATAGTTGAAACACAATAAAATCCTTACAGTAATTTATGATTCTCTGTGGTTTTGTTTATTTTATTAAAAAAAGTGATTGAATCCAGAGTTAAATAAGTTAATATTTTTTTAATCAAATTAACTTAAAGTTAATAGCATATAAAATCAAACTAATAATGAAGTATCTAAGGCTCTAAAGAAATAAATTAAACTGGAATAAAAAGCCTTTAAGAGCTAACGCCAATTATTGTTGCGCAATTTTATTATGTATTACAATATTTACAACGAAAATTCAAATGTTTCGATCCACAGTTAGAGTCCTCTTCAACGAATAAGATAAGATAATTTATACATAATTGAAAGACAATCTTGTCAATTTAGTTAATAATAGTGATACAATTTAAAAATAAATATATGTTAAGTCGCCGTGAGAAAATTGTTTCGATTGTTCGTAACCATTAGAACGATGTTGGTAAGTAAGTTGTCGAAACAAACATCAAAGAGACAGTCCGATTGATGTGCATTAGAATACAAAATTTACTAAAACACATAAATAACAAAGAGTTAATGTTGTAAAACCAAGTCAGAACTATAACGTCAATTACTTACATACAAATCTTCTAGGTATAATTATCTTGTGATGTTACATCTATTTGTACACTTATCATAGATCAAATAACAAGCTACGTCGAACCACAATACTAGAGGACATCTTATATACTTTGAGTGAAGAGGTGGAAGCATCAAGACTTAGTCAATAAGAAGTATATATAAGATCTAAAAGATCCGTGTCACTCTGTAAATTTAAATCATTTTTCTGTTTGTGTATAAAAATCATTTCCGATATTAGACGTTTGCTTAAAAAACTTTCATTGTCAAGAATTTTTATATTGTCCCAATTAAACTCATATTACAATTCCTGTCAGTGTTCTCAGTAATTGCTAAATGTTGCGATGTTCCATTTTACATGATTCCTATGTTCACTAATTCTTGTTTTTAGCATACGACCTGTTTGACCCACGTGAGATTCATCGCGCGCAATCCAGTTTGATATAAAATTAAATTAGTTACTTTAAGATTGAACTCAAGTTTTAACTCAAGTTAAATAAGTGCACAAAGGGACATGTAAGTACAGTTTAAAAGATGAACCACCAATCATGCTTGAAATCGTGTATTATGTGCACTTCGGCCATTTGACGCAATATTTCTGAAATCAATTGCGATACTTTAAGAAATCTAGTGATTTTATACTGTTTCTATATCTGATGTCAAACCGAAGATTATACACACGCGGTATTTCGTATTGAATCAAATTTAGGATTATACATACGCGAAAGAAAACGGAATAATACTGTACGAGATATTATTGCATTAATCTCAGTTTGTTAGAATCGTTTGAGATGATCGCAGTACAATCAGTATAAAAATAGGATGATAGACAGGATGTTGTGTGCTGTTAGGAAATATGCACCAGTGCACTCCAGTGTTCCCAAACGAAATTGCGATTAGAATTATAAATTTTAATATTAATAGTATAGGTTACAATTAATATTGATTATTAAATAATATAATTATTAATTATATCTAATATCTTACTTTAACGTTACATACGTACAAGTAACGAATCGTTACCATTTAATTAATGGTAACGGTAATATATTACTTTCTAAAATTAGTAACAAATAACGATCGATAATGTTATTTTTTATAAAAAGTAACGATAACAGTAACGCGTATTTTTTATAAAGTAACATTTCCAATCTTTATTTGAACATGAAATATAAGAATAAATTGATTTACCAGCACCGTTCTCTTAACCATAACGTACAATACAAACACGGATGCAAAAATGTTTTATCTTTATTTCGTTTTCTTTCGCGTATGTATAATCCTAAATTTGATTCTCAATACGAAATACCACGTGTGTATAATCTTCGGTTTGACAGATAAAAAACACTAGTGTCAGTTGAAATATTACACTCAGTGTGTAGAGTTGACAAATTCGTTGACGAAAGGACTATCGCCCGAATTATATTGGCTTAATGGAAGATCGTATGGGATTGGAAATACTGGAACGCCTGTATCTTCTTCTTCCCCAATAGGAAATGTTGTTGTCCCAGTCTAAATACATACGAGTTTGAGACGTAATAATTAATATTAATCTACTAAAATATATATCTTAAACATATTTCCATAATATGTATCCATTAATAGCATTAATATCTCAGAAATTAGTAAAATAATAATATGGTGCCTACGATAAATTTTGGTATGAATATGACACCGGCCTCGTAGTTTCCTATATTGTAACCTTTGTATTGTTTGATTGATCCCCATGCGGCTTTGCTCAAATTTGCGCTGGTGAGCACAAACCAGGGAATTCTTTTCAAATCGGGCGAAATCCTTGTGTAGGATTTAATATTAGGCATCGCACGATCTCGTCCTGTTCGCTTAGCTTTCCATTGACTATAAAAATTAAGAAATAAATGTAAAATTCTAGCTGTAGAAAAAAACGGATTACTTCTAAGGTGTAAATCATACGTATAAGCGTAAATATTTAAATAAAGTAAAAATAAAGGATTGTAACTTACTATAAGTATAATTTTAGCCACTGTTGCTTAGAATGATTTTCTGCTCTGTACGACAAGGGGGTAATGAAATCTTGATAATCAAAGCTTTGCTTATAATTCTCTATTGACGGATAAATAATCCGAAATTGTGGTTGATTCTTTGAACCTTTAGAAGTCCCCTCCGACATACACCAAGTTATGTCTTTCAACCAATTTTCGAAATTTGAACCAAAGCAGCCTATACCAGAACTTTGTGCGACTATAGGCCATTGTGCATTTGACGGTAATGTGGCATAGCGCGATAGAACGTGTGCCAATTTCCTGTATCCCCAAAGGTCGGCTTCGACAGCTTTATAAATTCCGGGAACAGAAGCGACGAGAAACACGTTTATATCAGAAAAATCCGCCATCCGCACTGCACGTATCCACGACGTCAAAGTCGGTTGTTCATATTTACTCAGATATAGCTCAAGATCCTTTTTAAAATTCGTTTTAGATTCCCCATCATTAGGATTTGCGGATTCGGGCAGATAAGGCAGATGAGGCGAGATCCACAATCTAATCATAGAACATAATAAAAAAAATGTTTATAGACAAAGATCATACGACTAACAATAAGAAATATCTATAAACGTATTTAACGAACCCTTGTGTCCTATTTACCCAATCGATAGAATGTAAGCTAGCAGTAGAGACAATCACCCTAAGCCCATTTCTATATTGCAGGATTGTGATGTTCGTATGATGACTAGAGAACTGATCACGCTGGTTTACATTTATTATAGTAACGTTTTCATTTAATTTTTCATTATGTATTCTATGTTTGCACAAAATTGTCATGTCGGTACGTTGGCCAGCCAACAAATACTGCAAATACAACCATGTATCATCTACCATAAAAGTTAAATGTAGACTATTAACAATTTCTCCAAGACTACGGTCGAGAATCTCAGAAAAAGTTATGGAGAACTTTTGATTATAAGTCTCTTCGGAATTTTCGACTCTCGTGAAAAATAAATGATAAGGTGCTGAAAAAGCATATTTCTTTGCAAACTTTCCTGGTTTTGTAATCATTACTGCGTAGCCAAGTTGTTTCATCTTTTGAATAGCCATTTTTCTAATTTCCTTCCTTGACATTGCGGAATCAAACGGATGCATGAGATATTCCATTCTAGGTGTTATTGCATTTGCATCTTCTTCACTGCTTTCGAAACTGCTTTGAGAATCGCCGATATTTTGCTGAATATCATTTGTGCAATAATTGCTTTCTACACTCATCTGTCTCATTTTTTCTGTATCGAAAGTGCCAGCTTCTGATGCCTCCTGACTTTTTTTTCTTGTCTAATGAAAAAATTTTTATTTATTGCATTTGTTTTTCACAATTTAATGTTCATAAACTCATTCTTCATTACACTAACCTTGTCACTTTCCGAACTTGCATGTTCTTTGCCGGTCAAAGTTGTAGAATGTGCTTGAGATGCTATGTCCATTTGCTTGAGTTTATATTGTCTCTTCTGTGCTTTTGATTTTCGTTTTTTCATTTTTCCTTCAAATCTTTTTTAGCACTTGAGTAGCAGCAACACAAAAATTGTGAGTGAATTAACTACCAATTATCGTAACTGTCACAGCACACTTTATTTTGTAAAAATCCTAAGGTGTTCCAGATTTTTAAATACAATCCGAAAGACGACTGAGTAGATAATATCTATAGGATATTCCAATAAAATATCGTGACATATCTGTGTATATATAGGATCGGTACGATATCGCTTACTACATAATGATAACAACAACAAAGGAGAGATATAAGAATCGATAAGATTTGCACAATATGTTATCATTTTCTATCATAATATTATATATCTTTAAACGAGCAAACCTAGGTGACTGATGAAATTAATTATTTATTAATTTATAAAAATATTTAGACTCACGGTACATTTCGGTTTAACTTTAATCTTCTTCAGTCGTGGATAAATTGCAAATTATAAGCGCATGATGTTAACACAATGACGGTTACCATAAATTATGTTTTTCCGCATAGTAACCGTCATTGTTAACATCATGCGCTTTTAATTTGTAATTTATTCACGGCTGAAGAAGACTAACTAAGTTAAGTCGAAACGCCTACCGTGAGTCTACACACTTTTATAAATTAATATATATAATAATTAATTTCATCAGTCATCCAGGTTTGCTGGTTTTTAATATTTGCTTGGGGTCAGTTGTAACGTTACAATTGTCCCAAAACTTACATGATTTTATTTTAGTATTATTTTGTACACTCACCGATTAAAAGGTTGCAACAGATTTTTTTCTATGGTTTTCGAAATGCAGCCTACTCATCGAGCGATTGGTTTTTACTTATGGATCCATAAGTAAGAACCAATCGCTCGGTGAAACTGCATTCCGAAACTTCCTCGATGAGTGTAGGTCATGTAACGCAGGAAACTCACGATTCATAAGTTCTGGAATAGGATTTCCTTAAATTTCTTTACATCCTAGGGAGGGATGTATAAATGTGTTTTTTAATCTTCTAGACGTTATCTAATTGTAAGATATCCAATAGACACTTAAATGTGTGCTAAATATTTTTCTGAATATATGAAACCATCTTAAAATATCTTATGGTTATTACGATGTCTCAAAATATCTGTACTACATCTATTGAATAAATTAAGTATACTTTGTGGATGGTTGTCCCTGTTTTGTCCTTCCCCAATCTATCACCATTTTCAATAGTTGTTAGATTGACCACTGTGAACAATCATTACGCGTAAAATAAAGCATCTCTGATATATCAATCATATCATTCAGCTGTCTATCAGTTATTTCTCCACTGAAATTAAAGTAACAGTTATTAACCAAATAATTGGTTTATCATAGAGGCAGTTTATTGTGATATGTATCAATTTACCTCACATATCGGAGCAATTAAGTTAACTACAATGCATGTCCGTATTTCATTTATTGCAAAGAAACTATACAGTGTATAGAACCATTACTGGTATGAAAATGTAGAGAAAGGTTCTCTCTATTATTGATATATTTTAATCATAATAATTAATCGTTTACAAAAATCTAATGCCGAAATTGTGAAAACTGTTTCAACCGGTTGGAACGACCCGGTCTCCCCTAATGACATAATCAATAATGATATGATTATTAATTACATACAATTGAGGAATACAAACAATTACAATGGGGATGTTTTGACATTTTATTCAAATAAATCGGATTTTTCCGGTAACATTTCTCCATAAAAGGACAATATTTCTTTTCTGCAATGTCAAATAAATACTCTTATTGTTCTAAAATCCAGAATCTTTCTCTCTTGAGAAAACGCACCTATAATCGATAGGAAATAAAAGCTTTTAACATCTGTAATCATCATAGAATTCATTGTCGTAAATAGGACTGAATTATACTTATGAATGCAATAATTTATACGAGTCTGATTTTGATAGTACAAATGTCTGATTATGTATTTCTTTGTTTCTTTCAAATAAGAAAGAAGTGATAAATATGTGTAATTTTGCAAAACATTACTCACTCTAAAATTCCACGAACGATTTTCACTTACACTTTTAGATACTGAAGTGATAAACTACAAGATACGATATCTGCCACTTCTTTGAAGTTGAAATTTGTAGTAATGACTGAGCATTACTTTCATTTCAGATAAAGTCGCTATATTATTTATAATTTATATATCAGAAATATAATTACTTATGAATACAGTGTAATTAATAATTATTTCTCCCATTCGACGCCATTGCAATTATAACAACAAAAATTTCGCGAAGATATAAAATTGTAGAAGCGTTTCAGACCTTAGATTTTTGCGATATCTCGAACCGCACGATTCAATTGATTCAATGAGCCTTCTCGACCATGGAAAGATGAAAAATGTCAAAACTAAAATCTTTGAATTATTAAAATTCGTAAACATCGTAATGGTCGAAAAAAAATTATTCACATTGCGATATGTAAATAATGCCCGACAAAAGATTCATCATTGCCATCAAGGCACACCATTCAGTCAGACTGTCGCTCGTTGAAAATTACAAGAAATAGGTGAATAAAAAATATGTATTTGATGGAAATTCTTTGCAATTTGTTGAGCGATGTCCAGAAATATTTTTCCAATGATCTAATACTCGATTCGTCAAAAGAATGAATTCCTTCTCTGGCGAAAATAAAGATCGGAGGGTAAGTTCAGTGTAAGAGGAAGTGACAGTTAAACAAAACCTACAGGAAGCGTAAATTGTAATAACATAAAAAAAGTTTACCTCTTAAAACACTTGTTTTCGCTACTCCAATTTAAGCTTTCTAGAAGTTCCTTCGTTTACGCTTCTGTCACTCTCCCCTTACATTTGACTTATATGCTTCGGTTTTTATTTTCGTCAAGATTTTGCGTAATTTGCATTTTACAGAGACGTGTGATTTTAGCACGTGACAATCTCATTAATTGGTACACAATTAGATATGGACGCATTCGTTGAAAATTCGATGTTTCTTTTTGTGGACGACTCAGAACCCATCTTCCGATCCACCGAATACGACAATACAGGCAGGGTTGTGGAATTGGCAGACGTTGGCTGCGATACGGAAACCACGTTTCCCATACATTTTCCACGTGATGCGTTTGATCGACGTCGCGGAGGAGCTGAAAGCCTCGGATCGACTCGCAGAATCACCAAATGGCTCAACGACAGACCGAATGAATTTACTCGAAGAGTTAGCGACATAAATAATGATGACGTAAGCAAACACGAAACAATAAATCGACGCTTCAGATATAGTCCTGGAAATTTCATTAGCACGCTAATAATTTACTTAAAAAGTTAATAAAAGTATATCCAAAATTTTTATTGTTTCAGCCTAATATTATAATAAAAATACACAGAAGAAAAACATAATAGATTTTTAGGAATAAAGCTTACTTTACAATGTATACATATCTTCCTGTTGATCATAGGACAGAAATGGGAATTACATCCGAGGGAAAACGCGGCAACACGTACGCAATTACGATGACGAGCCTGATGCGGATTTCAACAATTCGTATTCGGAGAATCCTTATGATGATTTCGAACTATCGAAAAACAATTTCGCAGTTGAAGAAGATAATTATACTCAATTTGTAAATCCCCAAAATGCAATCGCGCGTTCTCATAAAGAATGTGTCTCGCGATATGATTACTTGATTGATCGCGATAGATACTTGAGAAATCTCGAGTCTCCATTCATGCAAAGTATTCATATACCTCTAAGGAAGAATATTTCTCCGCGATGGCTTGCCGAGAGCGATAAAAAGAATCTCTGCGAAATTCACGATACCGATATTCAATCTGGTGAACGCAAAAAACGAACAAAAATTCTTTCGAAAAACGGAAGCTTCAATCGCGAAGCGGGTATGTTTTCTAAAAATCGACAAATGTTACACAAACTAATTGCAGATATTTGCAGATCCAGTGCATTCGGCATTATTTTCAATTACACAGCAAATATTGCAAAAATTGTTTATAATTTTAAGTTACGTAAATCTTATTCTTCGGATTTTGATCTTCAAAATAAAAAAAAAAATCGTTCAATTATGTTAATTTAAGCAAAGATATATTAATTTAAAATATACTGGACAATATCAGTTAAAGAATTTTGAAGCGGATACCAATTGAGAATTATAGATGATCTTTAATACTAGTAAAAAAATTTCTATTGATTTTTGTAATTCCATCATTTACATCTTGCAGAATTCGAGCAGGCTCGCGAAATAGCGATGCATCGCGAACAAGATAATCTTCCCAATGTCGTTGACCCTGTCGCATCTTCAAAACAAATGTTTTGGGATTATGTTTCATTCGAAAACGATTCAGAATGTGAAGAAACAACTTTTTACAATCCAACGAAGACAAAAAATCACGGCGGGTTGCAGAAAATGACACCGCGCAGGAGAAGATCGTACATCTTCAATTCACAACCGAAACGCATAGATGTTGTTGATTCGGAAGGAGAAGAGTTCAATGAAACGGTTAAAAAAAACAATCGAGAAAACTTGTCGCCCAAGATTCCAATAAATAGCGAGAGTTATCGAACTTCGAAAGGTGATGCAATGAAAGAGAAACCCAAGATTTTACGATTAAATACACCGAACGCGAATTCTTCACGAAATCAATCGATGAGAACATCCGTTGATGAACAAATTTCGAACATGTATTTTACAGCAAAAGGTAAGAATTATAAAGAAAATTAAATTATTAAAAATACACACATTTTTCTCCTTCACTCTCCCCTTTTCTCTGATCTTTTTTACCGACGGCGTTGTTTGTGAGTAGTTTGCACAGCACCGGCAGATATCTCTACAATTACATAATTTGTCGACTTCATTGATACTTCCTAAGTGCTAGGAGTGAGCGAAAATTTCACACAGATAAGATAAATTTGGTGGGAAAAAAGGTGGGATTTAAAAAAAGCATATTTTATTAGAAAATCTATTTTAATGTGAAAAATTTACTTAAAATTATGATATAAAAATTTTACAAACTTATGTACACAATAATAAATATGTATGTATTTACATTTATATACATAGTATAGAAATGATATTTATCGTCTTCACAAATATTTTGAAAAACATTAAATTTTAGATCATATTCTTGATCAATTTACACTTATTTTATAAATATTAAACACAAAATAGTACGGCAAGAATACAAAAGTTCATGTGGTAGTCAAAATATTAAAAATAATGTAATAGATTTGATGTTTTATCACACCGCATTTTTTGAACGTGCTTGTACATGTTATTTTAATCTTATCATCTTGCATCACGAGAAATAAATATTTTACTAATTTATTTATTTATTTGCAAGTTATACGTTTTTTTATAGGTTCAATTAACATGAGGCCGCATTCAGCAACCGAAGGGAAGAAAAATAAATTTTCAACGATCGAGAGGAAAGAAGAAATTATAAATACGACTGGAATGACTGTCGACAATCATCGATACCGCAACAAATTCGTCAACAAGCTTTCCAATAATTCTCCCAAGAAAACTAGTCGTTTGACAAGAATGTTTAATCGCATCGCAGACTCGTCGGGCAATAGACAGATAGAAATGGAAAACGAAAGAGATAACATAAATTTTCATCGCGGAAATAGTAAAATAGATCAGATCAATGTGACTGTCTCGCGATTGGCATCAGAGAAGATAAAGCAGAACGAAAAGACATTTGCTTTGAAAATGACAGATATTTCTGTGCCGCGCGTGGATGTAAAAAAAGAAAAAAAGAGGAAATTCTTCTCTAGATTACCCATACGAACGTGGAAACGTCTGAGAACAAAAGAACCCGCTGCATTGCGTCCTGAGAGGGACGCAACGAACGATGTTAAGGTAAACGTCTCAATAATTGAATATGCCTAGCGATTAAAAAATCATCAATACATATTTGCAATTATAAAGATATTTGTTAATAACAGCATTAAAAAGAAGTTCAATATTTTGTATCTGCAAAATAAGTAACAAAAACGTATAATTCTGATTGCAAATTATTGTGAAAAGAATTGTCTCTTTCAAATTTTGCAGAGGCAGTCATATTTTCATTCATTTTCTTATCATCTTGAGTCAATTACAGTATATCTTCAAATTTTTTAAAACGTTGCAATGTATTTAATTTAACATATAGTGTTTTTTATTATTGTAAGAAACTGAGAACTAAATTTTAGAAAACGTATTTTATTAGAAATTTTGTTACTGATACAATTGATATGTTGTAATAATTAATGGAATTTTACTGAAATGTTCCTTTTTTAAAATTAAACAATAATACTTTTAATATATTTAATATATTTAATATTTAATGATCATCGACAAAACAGTTTCATGTGGCATAATTTTTTTGTAATGCCCCTAACTAATAAATCAATAATAATATAAAACTATAATAATACCTCCTTATTAATTCATTTATTGGGACATTTACTTTATTAACCAAAAGCTCCAGAAAGTGGAAAACGAGACTGCAAAATTGAACAATCATCTAGAGAAGACAGAAAACGTTGACATTCACACAAAAGATCGCACAACCACAATAAATAGCAACGATATAAAACGGAGCGAGCGTTTCGGAACAGGATCGCCCAGTGTTGATAAATCAGGATTGACTTCCTCCGATTTGAAGAGCATAAAAAGGATCAAAGACTTCAACGCGACAAGGAGAACATACGAGCAATGGAAGAAGAGGACGAGCATCAAGTAGAAATCTCACAAGATATCTCGAGATGAAGAATACAAAATATAATTAATACTTTCAGTCAAAGTTTATATTAAAGGTTCAGTCTTTCTTGATTTTCGTTGATTCATATTGCAAATAGCAATTACATGCAGTACACTAATTGTGAAAGAAATGTTTGATACGTATAATCATTTATTTTTTGTTAATATATGACTAACAAAAACTTTCTTACTTTTTCATTTAAAGCTCCTGAGTAGTCACTACAGCCATATTGAATCGTAACGTCAGAAGCGAGGAATGACACGTTAATTTTATGTCGCATGCCATTTGTAACTAAAGACAATTTGGATAAATCTAAATGATGAGATTGCTTGAAAACATTTGTAAAAATCGATGAAAACTATGCTCATCCCCCCTGACAGTCAGTAAATAATTGTAAAAAGTGATAAAAGGCATGTGTAAGTGAAAATAAGCTACGCATGCACATTTAACAAATGTTTTAAAACAATTTCATCATTCAGATTTATCCAAATTGTCTTTAGTTACAAATGGCATGCGACATAAATTAACGTCATTCCTCGCTTCTGACGTAACGATTCAATATGGCTGTGGTAACTACTCAGGAGCCTTAAAAGTTGTTTTAATCAAAATTTAATTATTCTATCCAAAAATCTTTTACTAAAACAACACAATATTTTAATGAAAAAGTAAGAAAGTTTTTGTTAGTCACATATTAACAAAATAAATAATAGTCATATGTGTACTAAAACATTTCTCTCAGTGTTAATCTGTACGAAAAGAACGGTTTTACTAAAATATCTAAAAATTTAGCTGGATACAGAGATTTGAAAATAATTTTATTGACTATAAAAATAATATAGGATGCTTAAACATAATGAGCAATGCTGCAAAATGTTTTGATATTCTAGCAGCTACTTTGAGCGTCCTGTAATTTTTTGGTAGTCTAACAAAATTATTTTCAGATCATCTGTATTTATAACTAAATCTTTAAATATTTTAACAAAACCGATCTTTCTATGTGGGAAAAATGAAGCAATACTATTTGATCGCCTTTCGCAACACCTTTTCGATCGTTACCATTCTGTATATCTGCATCTCGAGTAAGAGAAAAAAAAACACCGACTCGATTAGGAACACGCAACCACATGGAACAAGACGCACATAATTGTGCGCGCGTAATGGGGCCGTTGGGTTACCTCAAAAGAAGACCCCACCCGAATGATACCAATTATGTCATCAACGTACCACGCGTATGTTCCCCCCTGTCGACGATTCTCTGTCACAGCACAGTCACTTCACCCGCATGTCATAACCCCCGCTTGCGTAACCACCCTAAAGTAGAGCGCCTCGTATAATACCGCGTCGCGATTCTCGTTGGGGTCCGCTGCGCGCGCGATCTCAGGATCAGAGAGGGAGACGGGGAAGAAATATTGTAATTGTCCATATTTACCCTTGCACCCGGTAGCGTACTCAAACAACAACATAAAACACCCCCTCCGGAGACACCCCCGTACAGACGCGACATCGATTTAATCCGGACACGCTCAAATATTTTCATTCTGTCGCTTCGCAACGATGTCACGCCCTCTGTCTTTCCCTCCGAATTAAATTTTTTTGTATTTATCAAATATGTATATAAATTCACACCAAAATATTATTTAAGCATTAATTAAGATCCAGATCAATAATCTAGTCTTTTCATTATTTATTAAATATTTTCGCTAATTGAATTTTTATTTGTGCTAGTAATGAAAACGATAAGCGTGATGATAACACACATCGATATATCTATACAATTTTATCGAAATAATCTATAAATTTAACTAGATATAGATCGGAAAACAATTTTGTTGGATCATCAAAATATTTACATAGAAAATTCAAGCATGATGAACAATGCTGCAAAAAAATGTTTATATTCTAGCAACCAGCTTAAGTGTTCTACATAATTATTTTAATAGTGCAACAAAATTATTTTCCAATCTAATTCAATTTCTTATATAAATTTTCTTGCGTATGAATTCTTTTTCTTTTTTGTTTACGATATTACAAAAATCGCTGAAATTATACCAATTGTCGTTCCTATTTCTTACGTTTTATTCCGTCCCGATCGTCCTAGCCATCAGAGAGATAGGAATGTGAGGACAACGAGACAGCGAGAAGCCGAAAAACGGGGCGACGATGGAAGAGAAGTGGCGAAAGGAGTCGGCGAGTCGCCCCGCGCGGGCAAGCCAAGCCGCCCAGCTGGAGGCGGATAATCAAATAAACCTGCACGCACCGTATAAATTATCAATCAGGGCGCGATTGTGCAACCCCAACAGAGGGAGCCATCCGTGTCGGTAAGGGTTGTTACATCGACGTCGCCGCCAAGGGTGAGGGGTTGAGAGGGGACGACAACGGCGAACGCGTGTGTGCGTCCGACGCTCGTCGCCGTCGTGTCGAGTGACCCCGCAACAGTTATCTTCCTCGCATACGTGGGCGTGCGTGAACGTGAGTTCACGCCCCGCAGCTCTGAGGGATAGGAGAGACCAAGGGATGACGCGTGCACGTGCATGAGGGAGAGAATTGCCATCGCGTAAGGTGTTTTTGTGTCGCACCCTGTGCACGTGTGCACAAGATCTTCGCGGATATGCGGTCGCGAAACGACGAGGTTGAGTTAAATGACTGTCCCTTCGAGGGAGATGGATGAAGACTTGATACGTATCTCGAATTCCACGTCACTTTTTAGCCTCTGTTTGCATGGAAAGTATTCCACGTCACTTTTTAGCCTCTGTTTGCGTGGAAAGGTAATAGTATATTGAAAAAAAAGTTTTTGGTATTTGTGACTATAATTGCGTGGTAAAATAATTATGGTTAGAAACTCTATTTATATATATTATGTATACAGTTATTACACGGAAAATCGATTTTGTTAAAGTATCTAAAAATTAAGCTAGATACAGATCTGAAAATAAATTTTATTGGATTGTATGAAAGTAATTATATAGACTTAAACTGATTGCTAAAATATCGAAATTTTTTACGGCACTCTCTGCTAATCATGCTTGAGTTTTTTACATGATTATTTTGGTCTAACAAAATTATTTTTAGATCTGTATCTATTTAAATTTTTATATATTTTAGCAGAATTGTCCTTTTAGTGTTATTTTCGTGTACTCCTATAATGTTAGTGATAATATAATATCTATATAGTTCTATATGTTCTGTTTGATACGTAGAATTATAAATATAATTATAATTATATTATTTAATATTAAGTTAGAAACAAGATTGCTATATGAGTACATTATAAATAAGAGAAGAGTCAATTACTGTCAAAATTATATATTATATTGCTGAAATAATATTTCTATATACACATATCTATATTTTTAAATATCTCACAATCTCTCAGATATATGATTGTACACCGATTTTTTTCGGACTTTCAACACAATCACACTGAAATAATAACTTCATACATTAAATTTGATGCTCTACTAGCATCTTAAAAAATAAAGTAATATTTTTCCTTTTGCAGAAAATATTTATCTTATTATTAGTTGGAATTCGAATCCAGATTTCCCGAATTCCGTGCGAGCGTCCCAATAATTATTATTATTAACATTAACAATAATAACTATAAACTAAAAATGGAGTTCCTAATCATAATTATTTCACTGTGCAATTATAATCACAAATGCTAAACCCTTTTTTCTCAGTATAGTCGTATCTCAAGAACAATTTCGATCACACAATCGTTGATCGCGCTGCGCGACTATCCGCTCTTTTGACTTGCGCCACGCGATCCACAGCAACTTTCCTTCGGGATCTCCCCGTAGCAATCTTGCTCTCGGGCTCGTAAAGGAATGTTACATTGACGAGGCGCCGTCGATCACGCACGATAGGAGCGAGAAACAAGCGTAGCCGAGCCAATTAGGCATCGAGGGGGATCAACCACCCCGAGCGCCTGCAGCATCGACGTATCGAAATTAATCGGCGCGTCGGTTAATTCTCCTCAAGCTCACCCGGAATATTCCGTTGCCCGCGCGTATACATGTAAGGTGTATCTTGAATTTGTCATTGTCATACTAAAAAGGGTCTGATAATAGCTACCAACCCCAATACACTAAGAAAAATTTCTGATTGAAAATGAACCAGTAAGATTCTGGTTATATCAATCAGAATTCCGGTCATCATAATTGGACATCTGGCCATCTCAATGTAAATTTAATATAGATTTAAAGAAGAAGATTCTGATTTGTTCATCTTCAACTAGAAATTTTTCTGAGTGTGAATGTATATTTAAATCTGGATTATTCCATCTTTCGATTATAAATTTCGGCTTACTTGCTCTCTCGCTCTCGCTCTTGTTCTCTCTTTCTTTCGCTCTTTTTTTTATCTATTAAATAAATTACCATAGTCTCTCTAAAGGTAGAACAATCAGCCCTGAAAGACGTCTTTTAAATATGCGTATTTGAGTAATGTACTTTGTTTAGCATATTCGTGCGCAATATTTAGTAAATATTAAATATTATCAAATGTAATAGTAATCAACTGTTTGACAGTAATTAGAAAAGTTAGATAATATTTAAAAAAGTAAAGTTAGCGTTTAGTTGGTTTGATTATTAACGCTTTGTATCAATGATTTGAAATTTTCCGGTTTTTTTACTTTATTACAGATAATAGATCACTTGTATTGTGAGTTAATTTTCGTCACTTTAACGGATATACAAAAATTATTAAATAATTCTTACATATATTTTAACATCTTTCGAAAATATTCATATTGTTGTGTATTTAAAAAAATTGTAAATATATAAATGTTATAACTATAATATTTATAATTACTTGGCGCTTCTAGTTTTTTAAAGAAAAGAAATGTGCAAGACACGAATGATCCAATCGTGTATATATTGCGTACTAAGGATTAATCGAACATTTATTTAAAATTATTTCACCAAAGTTTTAATAAATATCATTTAACTAACAGGTTTAATTATTATTACGAGATCTTTTCCATAATGCTTCAACGATTTTATTCATC